ATCAAATCTAAAACGATTTAACGCCCGTCTCCAGACGACAGTCCCAGACTGGAGTAAACTAGATGGTGTGGGTTGAATAGATGAACAACGCATGGAATCAATTGAAAAATAAAGCAACAAAATTATACGGAATTTGTAATGGGTGTTCGAAAAGAAATCTCTTGAGGTGAGGAAACCGTCCGTCGCGCAGCTTAGTGCTTCTTGTTCTTGCCAGAGCGCTCGTATTTGCTCTTGGACTGGTGCCACAGACCGAGGGGAATGGCCAGGGAGGGCAGGGTCATCACGGCGAAGGCCACCCAGTCGAAGAAGTGGGAGGAGAAGCGCTTGTTGTACTCGTTCAGGTTGACAATGCCTCCCTCACCGGGCTCAGAGCTGATTGCCAGTTGGAGCTGCAAGAATAGAGGTTTAAAATAAAGTATTATAAGTAAAGTATCGCAAAAATGTTAGAAGATTATGTGTAAAGTCTCTATTAAGCGTCCAAAAAGGGGCCATAAAAGAACTATTGATAGTTTTCAGTTTAAACTAAGATGTTTTACAGAAATCTTTAGGAATTATTATGACTTTCTGACAGTAGTCTCTTATATTTTATTACGCTATCTATTGATGGTCCCTAATTTTGTTCAAAGGTCACTTTATTCGGAATTTTTCTAATATTCTTGTGCAAATGTTTTTACATATTATTAATCGATGGGCATTAGATGTAAATCAATATGGTTGTCCATTGAAATGCTCTCAGGAAAATGAATGGGGCAGATTTCGGTAGCACCTAGATTAGATAAGATTCAAAAGCAATAACTTACCGTCTCCGACTCCTCGACAGCCTTGTAGGACACCTCGGCGGCGGTGAAGTTGAAGTAGCCGAAGGCCTTGGGCCTCACGACCAGGACATGGGTGAAGTTGGTCTGGGGAGCGATCCTGTCGACGACGGCAGTGGGCTGTCCACCCACCACATCAAAGGCCTCCGGATGGAAGCCAGAGTCGACCAATCGCACCTTGGTGGCGGCTCCGCTGCCCACGTTGAAGATGGTGTAACGCACCAACAGGTCGCTCTTCTCCACCAGGTATTTGTTCAGGATCTGCTTGGAAACCAGGAGGCGGGCACGGGTCTCGTCCTCCGACAGGCAGGTGCTAAATATCGCGCACAGGGCGCACAGAACCAGCAGGTGCTTGAACATTCTAAAATTGCAGCGGATTATGACGTTAGAATTTCACGTTTCACTTTTTTGTTGACGTGGAAGGGTCGCCGAAAAATACGATTATGTCCAGAAGGGCGAACACTTTTCCATTGCATTTCCCCTCCATTACGAAAACAAAGGCGCGAATAGAACGCACATCACATAAGCGTATGCTTCTTAAGTCATTATTTAACTACTTACTTGGACTTGGATATATCTTTTTCGAGTATTTCGGTGCAACTAAACAGCAGTCGTAGGAGGCGGCCGCTTTCTCGTTGGTTCGTGACGTGGAATAGTTGCGCTGTCAAACTTCGTGCTTGCTGTCAGGGCTGCCAGGGATGCATTGGATATATCGATGTATCGGTTGAGACGGCGGTATTATTAACGGTTTATTTTTTGGTATTTTATTCTTTTTATTTCTTTGGCGCGAAGGAATCCATTCTTAACTTTCATTTTAGAAACTAAGTATTTCCGAGTTGAAACAACACATTTGTGCAATAAAATCCTTTAATCAAATCTAAATTAAGTTACTTTAGTTACATAAATGAAGCCCAGCAGAGATTTTTGTCTACAAATATGAAATGTATTTAAAAAATGTCTGCTCATAGTTTATTATTTCGAGTTAAAACTTTAAGCAATTATAAAAACATGACATTTTAAACCAAAGAAAACAGATAGATTTGGTGAATAAAATGCAATCCTAAATTCGGAGCTTCGACAACTCTACCGCACTGTTACTGTTAACCCACTGTTAGCAGGCGCAGCTGTTATTCAAAAAGCGAATTAGCAAATGTAAACAAAACTAATTCTTTTAATTTTATGACTTTGCTTATTGCTTAAACTAGCACCTGTTTATTATATCCGAGTTTTATCTCGCTTTGTTTTTAAAATTCGACATACATTTGGCTTAAAACAGCTGTTTGCCGGTACCCGGGAATGCCCTTGACATGACATTGTACCCTACAGCAAGCTTTTGGCATATCAGTTTGCCCAATCATGACGATTAAATTGCGATAAATCATGGTGAAGTTGGGAAATTCGACGGGACTAAATAGAGATAACCAAAACTATGGGTTCTTTAGGCCTCTTTAAGACACACCCCCAATTTTAGATTTTGACTGACTGGTAGCACGCATCGAAGATAGGGGTTATCTTGATCGCCATGGCCGAACCGCCTTGGCTTATCAGTGGGAGGCGAATTTCGCTGTGCTGTGTTTGACACTCAATTTTCATCGCACGCAAACGCGGTTCATTCGTCCAGTTGGAATTCAACCAGCAGCCGGAAAACTCCAGTGAAATGTCGCTAACGGTGGAAATTGTTGCCACAAAGCCCTACGAGGGTCAGAAGCCAGGAACCAGTGGATTGCGCAAAAAGGTGGGGTCTTTATAGGCTACAAAACCCTTAAAAACCATCTTATACCTTGTGAAATTCATTTCGAATCCCAGGTTAAAGTTTTCACCCAACCGAACTACACGGAAAACTTTGTCCAGGCCATTTTGGAGGCCAATGGAGCTGCTCTGGTGGGATCCACCCTTGTCGTTGGTGGCGATGGACGTTTCTACTGCAAGGAGGCCGCCGAGCTGATTGTTCGGTTATCCGCTGCCAACGGGGTCTCCAAACTGCTGGTGGGTCAGAATGGAATCTTGTCCACCCCCGCCGTTTCCAGCCTGATCCGTCACAACAATGCCTTGGGTGAGTTTCCCTATAGGCAGGCTTTACTGTGCTCGTAAAGATCTTAATTGATAAGAAGCATCTTTATACAATCAACGGGTGGGGAGTTTCGTGACAGAGGTCCCTGGGGTCAAATAATAAGTATAGATTGAATCGGTTAACAGAGACCTTGTTGTTCGGGCAAATAAGTTTGAATCGGTTTAAATAATACCTTTGATTAGGAACTTGGAATTTTTTTTCAAAAATTTATAACGTTATATTTTTGCCATTTCATTATTGACTGAACTTATTACTGATATTACAATGCCCATTAAAAAACACGTCTTATCTTCATCATTTATCAATAAGAAGACATTTTTGAATAAACAAAATGTTATTGAACTTAATGAATGTTATGAAAAGGTTGAGGTTTTTTTATAGATAGATACGTAAAGATATTTGTATTTATATTTGAATTTTTAAAAAATTTATTAGACTTAATCCAATAATTTAAAAAAGATTTTTTTTTAATTTTGAAAATTTTGATAACTATAATCTAAAACTTGAATTCTTGATTCTTTTTGGCAAATTGTTAGTGGTTTATTATCTAGTTCTAGTTATATACCTTATACATTTTTAGTACCAGAGTTATATCTTCTTTTTCCATACACTTTAGGTGGCATTGTGCTGACCGCTTCCCACAACCCCGGTGGTCCCGAGAACGATTTCGGCATCAAGTTCAACTGTGAGAACGGAGGTCCAGCCCCCGACGCCTTCACCAACCACATCTACAAGATCACCACCGAGATCAAGGAGTACAAGCTGGTGCGCAATCTGCAGATCGACATCTCCAAGGTGGGCGTGACCTCCTTCGACATCGCTGGAAAGCCCTTCACCGTGGAAGTGATCGATTCGGTGGCCAACTATGTGCGTCACATGGAGGAGATCTTCGACTTTGCCAAGCTGAAGGATTTCGTGAGCGGAAAGGCCAATGGAAAGCCCCTGAAGATGCGCATCGATGCGATGAACGGAGTTACTGGCTCCTATGTGCGGGAGATCTTCCTGAACCGCCTGGGTGCCACAGAATCCTCTGTGGTCCACACTACTCCACTGCCGGACTTTGGTGGCCTGCATCCCGACCCGAATCTGACCTATGCCAAGGATCTGGTAGACACCGTGGCCCAGGGAGATTACGACATCGGAGCCGCTTTCGATGGAGATGGTGACCGCAACATGATCATCGGCAGCAAGGCGTTCTTTGTGACCCCCAGCGATTCGCTTGCCGTGATTGCCCACTACCTGGAGGCCATCCCTTACTTCCAGAAGAATGGTGTCCAAGGATTCGCCCGCAGTATGCCAACTGCTTCCGCTGTGGATTTGGTGGGCAGGAAGCTGGGCAAAGAGGTGTTTGAGGTTCCCACCGGATGGAAGTACTTCGGTAACCTGATGGACGCCGGAAGGCTGTGCCTGTGCGGAGAGGAGAGCTTCGGCACCGGCTCCAATCACATTCGTGAGAAGGATGGCATCTGGGCGGTTCTCGCCTGGATCTCCGTGATGCAGCACACGGGAAAGGGCATCGAGGACATTCTCAAGCAGCACTGGTCTGTGTATGGACGCAACTACTTCACCCGCTACGATTACGAGGAGTGCGCCTCAGATCCTTGCAACGAGATGGTGTCTACCATGGAGAAGACTATCACTGCCCCGGAGTTCGTCGGCAAGAGCTACTCCAGCGGCGGAAAGACCTACAAGGTCAAGGAGGCGGACAACTTCAGCTACACGGATCCCGTGGACAAGTCGGTGGCCACGAAACAGGGTCTGCGCATCGTCTTCGAGGATGGCAGCCGCATTGTTGTGCGTCTCAGTGGAACTGGCAGCTCGGGAGCCACCGTGCGGTGAGTTTGGTCTCGACTTATCTTAATTATTTCTTTAAATAACTAATGATCTGTTCCTTTCAGCTTATACATTGATTCCTATGAAAAGGAGAACGTCTTGGGTCAGGCCAGCGTTATGCTGAAGCCCTTGATTGACATCGCCCTGGAGATCTCTCAGCTGCCCAAGTTCACCGGGCGCAATGCTCCCACCGTCATCACGTAAAGACTTCCTGCCGGGAAAGAATCCCTGAGATTACCAACCCATCCAACTAAAATCTCCACTTGTACCTCAGCGAGGCATTTCCTTGTTATGTTTTTCGGATTTATTAAAGTTTGTGTAGCCCAAACTATTTGTCCTTATTTTAAGGGTGTGGATAGATACTCGTATTCGCTGAGTATAATATTGGGAATGCGCTGCTCCAGCACTTTAAGCGGCAATCGAGCAATGCGTATAAAAGCTAGCAGGAAGTGGAGAGCGGTGACCACCTCGGGACCCAAGATTTCCTTGTCCCTAAAAAGAAACATATTGTGATAAACATTCCTTGAGTATCATTTAAATTGCACTTACACTAACTGAGCCTCTGATATGGTCACCACATACTGACTCATGTAGGATATGAACAACATCTTGACGTTCCTGTGGAACTGCTGCAGGATGGTCACTAGACCCACAATGAAAGGCACATTATCAATGCTATCTTTGGCGGATTTTGGCAAAAGGCAATCGGTGTTCGTGGAATGCTGCAGACGACCCAAATGGGCAACAGTGAAGAGAAACAGGAACAACGCCATGTTATGGGTGTTTTTGGTGGTGAGAAAGACCTGCTCCAGAGGTTCAAAGTTGCCCGTATAGAGAAGTGTTTCCTGCAGTTCAGTCAACATGGCCACTCCCTGCTCATCACACAGATCCTTGCTGAGAGAGAGTTCCAGCAGAAGAGCCCTAGGTGTTGAAAGATTTAAATAGATTATAAATTTGTATAGAATATCATATTTCACTCACTTGTTTAGGGTATCCGCCGTGTTCTCCAACAGCTTGGCATCACATTTGCTGCTGAAGCTTAGTTCTCCGGCGATTTCTCGTCGCAGTAGCTGCTTCTGACCAATAGACAAGACCCACTCAAGAAGCGTAGGCCACACCTTAAGCCACCTTTGAGTGTACGATTGGTAATACTTCAATGGCTGCTTGGCCACCTCGGGTAGTGGGAAGTCCCTTGCCTCCAGTTCTTTGGTCAGACTGGCTAAAGTATCCACCCACATGCGATCCGAGGTCAGGTTTCGTTGTAGCCTTTCCACGTTCTGCTTTAACTCATCTGCCAACATATGCGCGTACAGGCGCTCCAGTCCTACCATTCCCGCCGGAGCCACAGCTTCTCGAAGGATGCCAAAGAATCCAGAGCCAGCCAGCACTTCCTGGTGTGGAGCTTTCTTCTCATACCATGTGCTTTTGAGGTCTAGAAAAATCGTTTGTTTGGGATCCGTGCAACGTAGGATCTCGTGGGCCAGACGACCAATAAAGTTATTGGAGGGATCTCCAAGCAGCGGTGGAAAATTGGGAATTGGAATAATCTGACTTTGGTGCTCCGATTGAAACTCATGGACTTTGTTGCGCAGAAAGGCGTTGCACTCCTTCTCCACATTATAGTTAATGATCCGTTGCGATTCCTCCAACAGAATGCGAAGTCCTTGGACTCTCAAATAATCCTCTATATATTCGAAGGACCTGCGATATCCTTCAATCGTTTTGGCCAGAGCTTGCAGTTTTTGCTGGAGAAGCTGCACAGGAGTTTTGCCTTTTTCGGGCGTAAAGATGAGGCCCAGATTGTAGGCATTGGCCAGGTGGTTCACCAGTTCCTTGCGTATCCCATCCTCCAATAGTTGTTTGGGATCTAGTTCGATTACACCCACTAGAGTCGTTTTCATCATTAGGATTCCTTTAGTGAAAACAGCAATGGAGTTGGTTAGCTGAGCCACCTTTGCTCGCTCTTCGAACTGGGCATAATCCTTCAAGCGCTCCTTTTCCACTCGCGTGGGAAACTCTTTGATCACGTTCGTCAGCAGATAGATGATCCTTGCCAGAATGCTAAACATGGTCTCTGGAACAATTTGCAGAACGCGTCGCAGGAAGTTGGCCAGCTCTGTGCTGTAGTAGTTCGACACGGAAGCCAGATCCTCGCTCTTGGCCTGATTGATCCGCATCAGAGGCACCTCCAGTGTGCTGGCCAGTTTCAGGAACACTGCCCGGATACCAATCACCGCCTGCGGTTGTCGCTTAATGTGATCCTGCATGAGGGGCGTAAAATCGCGCTGTAGAAGATGCCAGGCGTAGCTGAAGTCGGTGATCATTTGGATGTGGATCTCGATGTCTTCTTTGAGGTTGATGAGCTGCGCCATCCGATTGAGCATATCCCGGGTCTCCTGCAGCTGCTGCTTGACCAGCATGTTGGAATGAAGATTGTGATACTCCTGCACTTCGTCCAACGCCTGCATCACCTGAATGATCAGCCTTCCTGACTTTTGTGGCCTACTCAACTCCAGTTTCTGAAGACGCCCTGCCACTTCCCCAAACCATTGCTGCAACTGAGGATTCTGTTCGATCTTGGTCAAAGGTCTAGAGCCAGCAAAGGCCTCACTTAACTCCTTCAACCTCTGCATGGTCTCATCCCTGCTTTTCGTCCAGCGCTCCTCTTTGGTCTGTTGAATCTCCGTCAAGAACTCCCTGACACTCAGTTCCATTTGGCTGCAGTTGAGCAACAGGTGGTACAGCATATTCCGATCGAATTGCAGTTCCTGGAGCACCATTCGCTGCACTTGTCCAGGCAGAGTGGCTGTATGCGCAAAGACGAAGACCTCCTTTGAGGTGTGCAAGCAAAACCAACGGAGCAGGACATTTGATTGCCTCATCATCAGTATGATCTTGTTGGCATGCTCCAAAACAAAGTCATCATTGAGGACTCCCTCACGAACAATTTCCTGGGTCTTTTGCATAATCTTTCCCAACTGCTCCTTTTGCTGCTGACAAAGAGACTTTATCCCCGCCGGACCTATCACATTTTCTATGGCAGATCGGGCTGCCTTGAAGTCCAACCAGGCATCCACCAGATTAACCGTGATGCCCATGTACAAGGATATAGTCCAGTTGTCGCAGAAAAACTTGTCCACAATCTCACGCATCTGGGAGCCCTGGGAATGGAGAACTTTTGGGCAGAAGTACAAGCACACATACAACATGGCCGCCTGGGTGGACAGAGCCGTGGAGCGATGAGCAGGATGTGGGTACAGGGTCAACTGGTTGTATATATCATCGCACCGGAGACGGGCCACCACAAGATCCACAAAGTTCTCATCGAAGGGGAAGCGAGAGAAGTAGGCCTCCGGATATCTGGGAACCACCAAGCTCGCAGCCGCAGCAGCTGCCTGTTTGCCACCCAAACTTAGCACTTTACTCGCCTCCGTGGGATGGACATAGCCAGTGGAGCGAAGGAGTAGGCAAACGTCGTGAATATTACTCTCATCCCCGCTGGGTGTGGCATCTCCTCCACTATAACGATAGTAGGCGATCAGCAGACGTTCCCTCACATCGCCCGGAAGGTGAAAATCCAGGAGTAGGAGAATCACTCCAAACAGGTAGAGAGATTCGCAGAGCAGCTGGCGTCCTTCCTCCTCCTGGAGAACTGTCTCCAGGGTCTGCTGGATGTAGTAGCCACTGTTTAGCTCCTCGATATACTGTTTAAGATCAGAGGCATAGTGATGGATGCTCTGGAAGGCCAGGTAAAATCGAGTGATTAGCGGAAGCTGGGCCCGCGCCTCGTCATCCAGTTCGGTCAATTCCTGGAGGAGATTAAGTGGGTTTTCATAATGCTTGGTTTAGTATAACCATACACCATTACCGGACTCTGTTCGATCTTCTTCTCATGATCCTCGGCCACCTTAAAGTAGCTGAAATCCAGAATAATCTCGCCATATTTCGCCTTATCTGCCTTGCTGTCCAATCTGCGGCGGAATGGTCACCCATTAGTCATCGTTTTTAGGCATTTCATTAAAAGTTACCTATAAATAGCGGGCACATAGTCCTTGAGACGCAGGATCTCCGCTATTATGGAGTTACCCACCGACACTATATTCAGCAGATTCTGGCCACAGGCATTGTTCTCATCCAGAAACTCAGCCATTTTCTTGGTTTCTGGGATTGCACTCTGTAGGGAAACCATTTTCTATTATAAAACATATAAAATTTAGCAGCTATGCAGTCATATTTACCTTAAATTAGTCCATTTATGAATATTATCACTTGTTTTTTTGTTTGCAATCACTAATATGAACGTATTTTATTTGCAAGAAAATACTTACTTAAATCGGGTCATACTAAACTCAGATTATAGGGTTGTCAAGCATTCCAATACTTAAGGCGCCAAAGTTTAAATATACTACATATGTGATAAGACTCAATAAAATGCCTATCCTTAAGATCAGAACTCATATTTCTTAACGAGCATATGATCAATAAAAATGTAACACCATTATATTAAATTATACGACCAAAACTTTATGCTTTTAAAGCACAAAAATCAAGTAACACGATTTTTTATGAAAATCATTTTAAAAAAAATCTAAAAAAAAACTTTTGAAAAAATTGCCAATTTGTTAGGTGTTTCTAGTTGAATCCAAACGTGAATTTGGTTCTGTTTATTTTGTGTTAGATTTTCATTCTATGGGGGGCTACACAAAATTTCAGTAATATTAATTAACATAATAAATGAATATAAAAATATCAATAAAATTAATTAATTCAACTACATAAATTGTAATGATTTAACTAGCTAATTAACTGAGATACCGTTACATAATCCATCCGACATAAAATAATATTGTGTATAAGAAAACACTGCGCACTTAAATAAATTCTGCATTTTCCCCACTAACAATTTCCCGTGCTCAGTTGAAGTTTTCTGAATTTTTTCTTTTATTTTTTTTTGCTTAATATTAAAACATAATAATAATAATAATATTTATATATATTCAGTTATATGCCTACCAAACTATGCGCTGTGTTTACGGTTGCGTTTGCCTGCTTTTTGTTTTTCATATTAATTTAATGTACACACAAAGAATTTGTTTAGAATTGTTCCTTTTTGCTTAGTTTTACTGAATTACATCAATTGTCAATTTATTTGTTATAATTTGTTTGTTTTGGGATTGTATTTTACAAGATTTATCCGGCTAATTGTATAAAATTTGTCTATTTTGTGTGTGTGTAGGCCGGGTTTGATTGGGGCCGTTTTGGGATTTGGGGGAGCCTTGTGAACCGTGTTTTTCAATGGATGAACGAGCGCCACTAAAACATATTTTATATCGGTGTACTAAGATCTCTGCGTTCCCACCGTTCCTAGCCATCGAGAATTCGTTAATTACGTTTGCGTTTACCTAGTTATCTATTAGAAAAATCGTATCCTAGCATGTATTTACAATTTGTTTGTTGTGGTCTTGCCTAACGATTGGTTTCCGTTTATACAATATAGGTAATTAAAAATTACATCGTTTTGTTTAAACAACTATAACTAATTCAATGTTTTTATGTTTAAATGGATATTTTCTTCGCTTCTGTTTTTGATGTGTTTTGTTTAATTTTTGTTTTAGCAGTTGCTGAACTTGTTTCGATCTTTTGGTTTTAAAAACCATCTATCTGTAATTCGGTTTCGATTTCTCGTGTTATATCGCGCGCGCGCTTACTTTTCGCTTAATATCTATAAATTATGCTTCGTTTTCGTTTAACAAACTAAGCTAAATAATTAAATATTAATATATATGTTTATATCGTTTAGATAAGGCCGTCAATGCAGTTGATGCAAACATTATGATACAAATTACAAATCAAACGCCCGCTGACTGCGCGTTCTCTGTACTTTAATATTCCTCTCTATTATTTAATCCTTTCGTTTACGTTACTCTGGTTTTGTTTTGTTTTTGTGTTTTCTTTTTTTGGATTGGTTTGGTTTAAGTTTTACAGACAATTTATTGGGAAAAATAAACGAGCTTTAAAATAGGCTTAAATCAAATACGATTAGAATTTAGGGTTTAAGTGTGTAAACGTAAATATAGAAATTAAATAGGGCCGCCTAACTAAAAAAGAAACAACAAAGGGGGAGACGCGACGCAGTTAAATTTGAGGCTAAAATATATTGCAAATGGATGAAATCGTAAAGCTGGAGACACAACGACGACGACGACGACAGTCCACGGAGTAGGAGAATCTGCGAGAAGAACACGGTGCGAATGATGGGCAACAGCAGCGATCACTTGAGGTATGTCTTGAACAGCACGGAGCTGCGACAGAACTCGCGCTCCTGCTCCATGTAGAAGAGCATGTCGCGCAGGTTCACACGCTTGATGCGCGGCCTTAACGTCGTTGGCGCAGATCCCGAACTACTGAGCACTCCGCCGCCACTGGAACCCTTTTTTTTGGGTTAGAAACACAACTTAATTAACAACAGTTCTGGGATTTTGTATATCTAATCTTATTATTAAAGAACAATAAATCTGTACATACCACTCCCGCACTGACCGCTTCGCCGTCCAGCTTCAGCTTTTTCCGAGGTCCAATCGCCTGTAACGCCGTCAGATTGGCATCTCGCTGACGCAGCTCCTCCATCTCGGCGCGCTGCATCTCCTTGGCCTAGACAATGAGAGAAAGACTTAAGCAAATAGCTCCGGGGAACGGCGATTGCGATTGCGATCCTACCCTCGCCTTCATCTTGGCCTGTTCGGGATCCTCGACGCGCGACCGCGACTTGGCTGCCCGCAGCAGCATCTCGCGCTCCAGCTCCTCGTGTCGCTTCTGCTCGGCCTTGTCCAGTTCCTCCAAGAACTTGATCTGACCGCGCACATCCTTGGCGGGCTCGTAGCGTGAATCCAACTAGTTGAACCAGTTATTTAATATGGTTATCTCTTTAACAAGATTGGAAAAACTAACCTTGATGACATCAATGCGGTGCTCCGCTATCACAGCCAACTTCTCCACAATGTTCTTCAGTCGCTCCTGGCAGGCGTGCGATATCAGAACGGCCACATCCTGCGACGGCTCATCCAGTCCCGCCTCCGACGTAATGGCCCGTATCCGGGCTTGCAGGGCGGGCAGATTGAGGAACACTTCATCTTTGCAGGAACGTATCTGCGTGCCGATGTTTTCCGTGCAGCCGAGAATCCGCTGCGACTCTTCCGCCAGGTTAACGCCACCCATGGCGGCCACATCGTTGATATCATCGTCGCCGTACATCGAGGACATGGAGCTCTGCTGGAAAAACGAGTTCGCCGCCGATGCTGCCGCTCCGCTTGCATTCAGCTTGGCGTCCATTTCCATGGCGTCTCGTTTCTTTTTACCCAGCGTCTTGTTGATCACTGGCGGTGGCCTTGCCATCGTCTTGGCTCCAATCGGTGTTAAAGATGCATTGATCCGTTCCATGTGCGGCGGATGCAGCGACGGCGCCTTGATCTCCACCAGCTTCGCTTCGAAGTGATTGTTGTTGTGGTTCAGCGAGTTTTGCATCTGCTCTCGGGCTCGAAGAGCTTCGGGTGGAAGGTGGACCGTGGGCAGCGACGGTATCGGCAGCGATGTGGTCGAGGCGGAGTTCAGCGTGGACAAAACGGACAGCGTGGGCGTTGGCGGTGGTCCGCCAGATATGGCGGCCAGCGAGGGCGGGTGCAAGCTGGGCGTGATCGCTTTGATCTGCGTCTGGCCCACCTTGACGGCAGTGAGTTTGTTCGCGGTGGGCGCACTGTTCGGCGGCCGGGTGGTAGCCCGGATTTGCACCGATCCCGTGCGCTGCAATTGCGCATGCTGCGGTCCGCGAATTTGCACTATATTCTGTGAAGAAATATTATTCATATTTATTCGTACTAATGGTAGAATATAGGTGAAGTATTAAACTGAAGCCTGTTTTAATTAAAAGTACATATAAAGTACATATGCGCCTCTTAAATACTCAATACAAAACTAAATTTTTACTTGTTGAGTGAAGTGAAAATTAAACAAATTTACCTGGAGACTTTAGGCAGATAGGTAAAAACAAATATGAAACTTACCGCCTGTCCAGGCACCTGCAACGAAGGTATCTGGGTGCGAATTCCTCCCGTGTTGACGAGTCGCGGTGCTGTGGGCAGCCTGATATTGGGCGGTTGCTTCGATATCGTGGTGTGGCCAATAGTGGGTCGTGGCGTGCCCAAGGCATTCGGCGTGATCATGCGCACCTGCGTCTGTCCAATGGTCGTTGTCTGGCTGGGACCGATCGGACGGATTTGCGCTTGTATTTTCTACAAAGAAAATCGAAAATAATTTTTTAAAAAATTATACTAAAGATATAAAAGATTTCCTTGACTTACAGGCAGCTGTTGAGAGAGTCCGGCCAGACCGAGCACATGCTGCGGCGGTGGTTTGATGCCTTCGATTACCAACTCCTTGGTGTACAGCGCTTGCCGGAGCAGGGGCAAACTCTTCTTGAGGAATCCAATCAGACATGGCTGCGGGCTGGCGTTGAGCAAGCGCTCCAGGCGGTCACAAAACTCCTCCGGCTCCACGTTCGCATTGACCAGCTCCTGGATGAGGGTGCGCACATTCTTCTCCACCGGCTTCGGTTCCCGTGTCGACAATTCGATTAAATTGGCTAGAAACTTGCGACACTTTTCTTTGGTATTGCCCTGCTGCGTCGTCGTCGCTGCCGTCGTACTGCTCACCGCCGACGCCACACCTCCCGCGGAACTGACATTGTTCACCTGCTGCTGGGACTGCTGGGCCGGTATCGTTTGGATCTGCGTAATCTGCGGCAAGTGCGGCGCCTGCGCATTCAATTGCGTCAAGTGCGGCGGCTGCGATGAGTTCGCATAGCCACTGCTGGCCACCGAATTGACAATAATGTTGCTGGTGGCGGTTGTGTTGGTCATAGACTATAGAGGAAAACAATATATTAGTTATTATATGGTTTGGATAAAATATTATCATATATAGTAGGTGCAAAATTAAGACCAAAAAGCGTTAGAATAATTATTAAAAATATTATATAGCAGAATAAAGATGATGATGGTTCTTTTTGTCAGGATGGGAGGGTTCAGGGGACCTGGTCTCCAAATATGTGTGCAGGGGACAGGGCTATGGCTGGGGCATGGATAATGAGATGAACCGGAGACGTGATATTAAAATGCTCTCGAGAGCCATTTTTCTTTCTTTCAGAAGCACTCGAAAATTATTTATTCAAAAATTAATTAAAAATGTTTTTAGTAGTAAAATACACGACTTTAGTTAAAGGCTCAAGACTAATTGAACAAGTTTGAAGTTTACTTTTCTAATATAAATATATATCATGGCTTCATTTGTTGAAAACTATTCTCTGACAAAAGTTAACATTCAAAGTTGTCGGAAGAAATTAATTACAATTCTATGAAATGGGTTCGCATGGTGATACTCTAGTGGATTTTGGTTAAGAAACTATTATTTAAGGAGGGATTCGTCGGGATTAAAACAACAGCCCAGCACACATCGTTGGGCAACCCGATAGCCAGTCCTGTTTAATGATGTTTGGCCTGGAACAGCAGCTCCTGGACAGCGCATTTAACTAAATCGAATCGAAATAAGGAGTATCGAAAATACACAGACAGTTTTACACAACGCAGCATGCAGTACATTTAAGTTTATATCATATATATGCAATCATATACGAGAGTATTCTGGATAAATCAAAATGAAGTGGTGTTCGCATGTTACGAACCAAAACGGAACTGAAGCGTAGGCATAGTTATTATATGTATTGTATAAATAAGATCAAATCCAAATGCATAACAGACAAAGGAGAACAGAGGAGAGAAGAGCAAAAAACAAAAATGTTCGAGTAGGAGATATATCCTGCTGGCTTCTCTTTACGTTTTGCTTGATCTTTATGGTGGCTGCCACATTGGCGGCAGCTGCTGCAGCGGCAGCCGCAGCGGATGCCTGTTGCTGTTTATGTTGCTGCTGCTGCTGCTGGGCCTTGAGATGTTGCTGCTGTTGGAGCTTCTGTTGCTGCTGTTGCTGGTTAGTAGCGGGTTTGTTGTTGTTCTGGTTGTTGTTGTTGGTAGTGGTGGTGGTGTTGGTGGTGGTGGTGGCATTGATAATACTATTATTATTGTTATTATTGCTGGATGGGACTGTGGATGATGTACGGACAATCGTTTTGCGCAGTGCAATGCTAGTGCTGGCGGTAGTGCTGTTGGTTGCTTGTTGCTGCTGTTGCTGTTGCGATTGCTGCTGTTGTTGCTGCTGATGTTGCTGTTGTTGTTGTTGTTGGTATCTACTTACAGCTGCAGCCGGCACAGTTTGCAGACGGATCTGTGTGGTTGTGGGATGGTTTGTGGTGCTTGTCGTGTTGCTGTTATTGCTGGTGTTGGTTATGGTCTGTGTCACCGTCGGCGGACCCGTCGTCGTGCCCACGCGCAACAGCTGGAATCCGTTATCCGTCTTGACCAGCAATGCCGGGGTCTGACCCGTATTAAGTGTGCTTAAAGTTATCTAAAAGTAAAGAGAGAGAAGACAGAGAGACTCGGTTTTCATCTGCTGGACCATGGTGTGTGGTGTATGTGTGGTATGATTTGTGTGCTTGAATGATGGGCTGTGCACATGCGCGTTTTTGTGATGGAGTGTGGTTGGGTTAGGGAGCTCTGTGAGTTAGTAGAGAAGAACCCACCACAACAACCGTAGTAATTAGCCTTCTTCAGCCTTCATACTCACCGATGGACTCTGCGGTCTCACGCCCGCCATGTGAGAGTTGATCACCACACGGCTGAGCGGGTTGGTGGGCACATTCTTCTGCTGCTGCTGCGACGGCGCCTGGTGGCGCATGCCCACCACCACGCCCGCCGGCAGCATCGAGTTCAGCAGCGGTTGACCGGCCTGGGAAATACACAGCGTTATCATTAGTCAATCATTCAATAAATCGATCGCTAGCTTATCTCATCACATAAGTCTATTTGGGGCAGAGGAAGCGTTGAGAGGGGTTGCGGGATTCTAAGTTGGCCTACAACATGCAGCAATTGGCGTCTAACGCTCGTCGGAGGACCCCAAGGAAAGTGGACTTAAGTTGTTTAACCAATTCTTGTTGTGCTAACTGATTTTGAAGGCGTGTGATCTACTATATGTTCTATATGTTCTATAAAAAGCGAGCATTGAAAGCAATAGTTCTACAAATATAATGGTGTGGATCTTGTTGTACAAAGTAAGCTTAAAAGTGGGCTAGTGCTTGCGATTAAAGGAATACGGGGGAATTGGGTTGAGGACTCGACATTTTGCAATGATTTTGGAATTAGGTTTATATAGCTAAAAATGTGTGAACGCAAGGTAATGAAATTGTTTCTAAATTCTGGTTTATCCTTTAAATAGCAAGGGGAAAAGCATAAGAGATTACAATGCGACATTGGCTAGGAATCATAAGGAAATTGTAAATGAAAAATTATGGCTTAAGATTAATTAACAAATATAACTTGAGCTTTTATAAATAGAAAAGTAAATTAAACCTAAAAAGCATTTATTTTAAGCTAAGAAGTTTGGAGATTGAATAATGTTTAAAACTGAATAAATAATGTCTGGACTTATAGACGTTTTTAATGGTGAGAGAGCGTGGGTTTTACCCAATTTAAACAAGGATTTGGGATTTTCAGACAGCAGAGATGTCAATATTAATTGAAGGGCATAATGAAAAATGGTCTAAAAAGATTACCGATTTTAAAAAATGTTTCAGACAGTAATATGATATTAAAAAAAACAATTTCAAGTAAAGTAGGAGAGTGAGGATTTAAGCCTGGGTTTACCCCATTAGAGTGAGAATTTGGGATTTTCAGACAGCAGATATAGTTATAAATGAAAGCGCAATAAAAGTATAAAGTACAACCAAAGTGTGTGCGGCCACTACTATCCGATTCGAGCGAGGAGTTTAGGAGGTTTCGGATAGGGATATTCAGAATTGGACGAGTGATACGCCCGACTTGCGATCGCCTAGCGCCCGAAGTGGGTTTAGCTTTAATGTGGATACCTGATTGATGGTCTTGGTCATGGTTACGATTCCTGCTGGTGCACTTGAGACTAGACCCGCCGGCAGGGTGACAGCATGGTGGTTGGATTTAATAACTAGGGTTTGAGTTTGGGTGGCACCTACGGATTGCGTCTGCTGCTGCTGTTGTTGCTGCTGTTGCGCCTGCTGCTGCTGCTGCTGGACATGATGGACCTGCTGCAATCCCTGATGCTGACCACCGATCCCCGCCTGTATGGTCTTGATGGTGGTGGTGTTCGGCAGCTGGGCCGTTGATATGACGGCGCCGGGATTGCCGGCTATGTTGATGGTGCCATTGGGCAGCGGCTGGCTGGTGAAAGTGATGCGATTGCCGGCAGCTGTCTGGCTGGTGTTCATCGTGCTGTGTGTGTGGTGGTGTTGTGTTGTTGTTTTGTTTATGTTTTTTGTTGGCGAGTGTGACTCCTTTCCTTTGACTTTTGTTTGGTGTGGGCGAGCGATCCTGTTCCGATCAACTACTAGCGCACATCCTGTCGTCGTCGTGGTGAAGGAGGTGGTGTTGCCGTTGTTCTTGTTGCATGCTGTGCGCTCCCAGAACTGCAAGGCAAGGGGAGGCGCATTTAGTATTTATACGAGAGGCGGCGCAGGAGCAGGTAGGTGGGTGGAGGAGCAGCAGCTGCTGTCTACCTGCCCACCGGCTACCTGGTCATAAACCAGATGCTGGGAAGAAGGGGACACTCGGGACGGGAACACCTGGAGGCGGCGCACAGGTAATCGCGCATTCACCTTGGCCAAAAGAAGCGGGTGCTCCGCTGACTTAGTGCTGCGCTGGCTGGCTCACTCGCTCAGTCGCCTTCGCCGTCGCCGTCGTCGTCGCCTTTCTCCTGGCGCATCCGACGTAGTCGTCGCGTGTGTGTTATCTTGCTAATGCGCTGCTGCCTTTTGTTTAACTCCCTACGGACTTTTCTACACCTTTCCCGATCGGCGGTTTTTCCTGCGCACACACACACACGCGCGCGCTCGCACGGACTGTTTGTTGAGCACTGGAAGAATGCTTTATTTTGATTATTTTGATGTACAAAAAATTTGGCAGCGACGGTGCCAGAACGCCGCCATTTTCACGAATGCGCGTGCAAAGCGAAAATCGAGGGAGGCGGGCGTTGCCAGATGGCGGGCGAAAAACACGTAACCGGCGATCTGGCAAGGCTGCACGTTTATGCGGGCGGATAGTTTGCAGTTACCGCAAATACATCAATTTAAATAGTTAATCGGGGACACTTAAAAATTAATGTTTAGCGAGAGAAAAATTCATATTTATTTTTTTTTGCAATATATGGCCACCAAAAACATTAAACAAAAAATAATAGTTAAACCCTATCTCTCCAGTGGCAATATGGAGCATCGTGCCAGCCGTAGTATTAGTAATTTCTACTTTTGCGGCCAGCGGGTGGTGGCATAAACCCACGTCCGTGTACGTTCGCCCATGTGTGTGTGTGTGTTTCAGTATCAGTTTTGTACAGCCTGCAGATGTCGGGGGCAATTTGTTGGGGCCTGCGGCCGATGCACTCACTTCAATTCATTTTGCGTTCAAACTCGGTGCACTGGGGCGCATTTTAAACGATTTCCCGTTGCGTTTCTCTGGCGATTTAGCCGAAAACCGAGTAAATATTGTTTACGGACCGCCGAGGTACGGACGAGTGTGTGTGCAGTGTGACCGTTGTGTCGGCGAAACAGGAATCTATTAAAATAAAACGCGTTTAACAGTTAAATATACTGAAAATACTATATGAGCTCGTATTTCAAATTATTTCCGGTTCATCATGGGTTTTCCGAAACTCTTGCTGAATTGTTAAGAATTCTTAAAGCTGTGCAACAGAAGGACGAACCTAAATGGTTTCTGTTGAATTTACGAAAAGCTGTGATCATTTGTCAATTTTTTCTGAATTTAAATAATTTATAACTTAATTTAATTATATTCATTGTTAGTAACGGCTCCACTGCTTCGCAATTGTTAGTTAGAAAAATATATCTCGAATCAAAAATTGTAGTCCTCACAAGGGCATACAAAAAACATGAATCCGACTGTATTTATTGAATCGATTTGATTACATTTTGTAAAAGAATTTTTTGAACCTACGATCCACAAGGTGTGCGGTATAAACGGTCTTCACGTTCCTCAAAACATATGATTTTCACTTTACCGGCTGGTGTTACGTTTATATCTTCAGCAAAATGCTTAGGATTTTCAATTTTCGCTTTGGGTATCGCTTATATTCAGTGAAAGCGGCTAAGAAAGATGCAAAAAGGTATACAGACACCATTAACCTGCCAAAGACCAAGTTTCCCAACCGCCTGAGCTCAGCCAAACGTGAGGAACAGGAGCGTTTGATTTTGGAGGCAAGTTCTTGGATATAACAAAATCTTCAATTACATGTATCATATTTCCATTTTAGAAGAAGATCGCCGTTTCCTATGAGTACCAGGAGCAGCATTTGGCTGGGAAGGGGGAACCCACCTTTGTCCTTCACGACGGACCGCCTTATGCTAATGGACAACTCCACATGGGACATGCGGTTAACAAGATCCTGAAGGATATTACCTTGCGCCAACGGGTGGCCCATGGCCAGCAGGTCAACTATATACCCGGCTGGGATTGCCATGGCTTGCCCATCGAACTGAAGGCCACCAGCACGGCTCCTGGTCAAAATGCTCTGGAAATTAGGAAGAAATGTGAGTGTTTTCCTTAGCAATAGATTCCATAATAATTCCTTATTATGATCTACAGCTCGCTCCTTTGCCTTGGAGGCCATCAAATCGCAGAAGGAGGAGTTCAGCAGCTGGGGCATTTTGGCCAACTGGCAGAAGGATAATATCTACATGACCTTTACGCCAGAGTTTATAGTCAATCAATTGCAAATGTTCCACAATCTCTATGAGAAAGGACTGGTCTATCGGGACTTGAAGCCAGTTTACTGGTCACCATCATCCAGGTGAGTTTGGGGTTCTTTCTAACATAAATAATAATACATTCTCATGCGAAAATATATTCGATTAGGACAGCCCTAGCTGAGGCGGAACTGGAATATGACCCCAATCACATAAGTCCCTCGGTATATGTGAGATTTGCATTGAATCCAAATGCCTTCGACGAACAAAATAAGAAAATATATGCTCTTGTATGGACCACAACTCCTTGGACGTTGCCGAGTAACCAAGCCATCTGCTACAATGCCTCCTTGGAATATGTTTTAGTCAGGCTATCGGATCACAAACCAGATGAGCTATATCTCCTGGCCGCAGCGCTTGTGGCGGACTTTGAGGCTAACACCCAGTTGCAATGTGAAATAGTCCAGACGGTTAATGGCAACTCATTGGACAAGCTCAGCTATAAACATCCCATAGACAAGGAACAGTCGAACCTGCCCTTCTTTGATGCTAGCCATGTGCAGGATAGCAAGGGAACAGGATTGGTGCACACAGCTCCTGCCCATGGACCCGAAGACTTCCTGGTTAGCCTAACCAAGAAAATACCCGTGAAATGCCTGGTGAATGAGGAGGGTATTTACACAAAGGAGGCTCCCGAGTTTCTGCGCGGAAAATCAGTACTGGAACAGGGAAATCCTCTTGTGCTAGAGCACATAACAAACGATGTAATATGCTCTACCACGATGGAACACTCCTATCCCATAGATTGGCGCACAAAGCAACCTGTGATAATTCGCGCCAGCGAACAGTGGTTCATCAATACCGAGAAGTTGAAGTCGTCTGCTGCCGATGCCCTGGAGCAGGTGGAAATCTATCCCCGAACCAATGCTGAGGCCAGCAAGAAAGCATTGCTTACCCAGCTTCAAAAGAGGCCATATTGGTGCATCTCCAGACAGCGGGCATGGGGGGTTCCCATTCCCGTTTTCTACAGTCGGGAGACGGGAAAAGTGGTACTCAATTCCGCTCTTATTAACCATTTCTGCGATCTGCTGCGCCAAGAAGGATCCATAGACTTCTGGTGGGCCAAGTCGGTGGATGAACTGGTTCCCTCTAATATACTTAACGAACTGGACTATAAAGCCGAAGATCTCATTAAGGGCAGCGACATATTGGATATCTGGTTCGACTCGGGCAGCACTTGGTCTGCAGTGCTGAAGAAGGATAAAGTAGCCGATCTTTACTTGGAGGGATATGACCAGTTCACCGGATGGTTTCAATCCTCCTTGCTTATGAGCATTGCTGCCCGGGGAACTGCTCCCTACAAGTGAGTAAAGATGTGGTTTTAACATAACAGAAACCCCCTTTAATCTTGATTTTTGTAAAGGGCGCTCTTTGTACATGGCTTTACAGTGGACGAAAAAGGCCACAAGATGTCTAAATCGCTGGGGAATGTAATTTCCCCAAAGCAGATTACCAAAAAGTATGGGACAGATGCCCTGCGCTGGTGGGTGGCCTCTCATGGAACCCAACACATGTCCATCACGGTCAGCGATAAGTTGCTGCAGCAGGCGGCTGAAAATCTGAGCAAGGTTCGTGGCACCCTGCGGTATCTAAAGGGTGTAATTGGAGAGAGGCAAACGGACAAGGAACTGCTACTCAATCTCGATAAGAGCTATCTTAATAGGTATTTGCTGAGTCAGTTGGTTGAGTTTGAATCTGAGGTAGGAGACTGATTACATCTTTCTCTTTTTCATCTAATAATTCCCTTCTGCTTAAGGTGGAACAACTTTACAAAGCGTACGAGTACAACCGCGTAGTGGCCTGTGTTCAAAACTTCCTGGCTAATCAGGTATCTGCCATCTATGTGCATCTGATCAAGGATCGCCTATATTGTGGCGACGATCAGGAGTTGCTTGCCATTCGTCAAACGCTTACCCAATGCTACGAACAGCTCTGCAAGAGCCTATGGCCCATTGTGCCCTTCCTGGTGGAGGAAAGTTGGAGCTACTACGACGTTGAAGGAGGAGCATTCCATCAGCAAAAAGTTCAAGCTAAACCAGAATGGAAAGACTCTGAAGCCACTGAGGTGATCAACGCAGCGCTTAATGTAAAACGTCTCATTAACCAGCAGGCTGCCGATGTCAACACCTGGCACTTGGCTGTGACCATCAAGGGAAGTAAGCTAGATCTGCTAAAGAAATTGCAAAACACTCTTGGAGAATCTGTGGGGAATTCGGAACTATGCGAGATACTGCAAGTGGGATCTGTTACTCTTGTACACTCCGATAGTCCCGACTTGGACGTAGACCTAAGTACACTCCAGACATCGCTGTGCCCACGTTGTCGTCGCTTCAGTTTAGACGAGAGTGCAGAGCTGGAGACTTGTCAACGTTGCTCAGAGGTATTGGAAGCAAGAAACTAATCATTAGAATATGTTGTTTTTTAGGTCTAAGGAATACATTTATGTTTTTAAAAACTCTGTAAGCACTTCATTAGAGTGTCCCGAAGCTTAAGACGAGTGGTGGGCTTTCCGCCGCATATAATGTGCGTCTCGTTGTCCTCGAACTTGATGACCGTGTCCTCGTTGACCAGGTTCAGAGTCAGAGCGCCACCAGTGCGGTCCAATTTGATGTTGGAGAAGCCGTCCTGCGCCAGCCGCTTCATCACAGCTTCCACGTCGATGCTGCCGTACTCGTACTTTACGTTCTTAAGCACATCCTCCTTGGATGGAGCGCTGGTATTCGAGCTGGTCTCTTCTTTAATGGTGTCCGCACACGGTTGAATGCAGTGGACCTTGTCCTTCACCTGCAGAACACCGGTCAGCGTTGAGAAGGTCACTCCGGCAGCCACCTCTCGGGGCGATATCTTTTGGGCCAGCTCCGAAGTGATGTAAATTCTATCCAGCTTTCGCTTCAACGGCAGGCGGATGATCTCACCGCACTTGAACGTTATGATCTTCTTGTCCGGCTGTTCTATGAACAGATTCGGCGCCGAGGGATGTGGCTTTGTGTACGCCTCTGGGATGACCAGCACGTTGGGCTTCAGCTCCTTGATCAGCTTATTGGCCTGCTGATAATTCAGGGACGTATCGATGGGGCAGTAAAAGGCCTTCATGGCAAGCGGCTGAAAAGGCGCAAGTACTTGCAGATATGGGAAGTCCGGCTCCGTGAATATGATGGAGTTATTGGGGTTGCTGCCCCACATCTCAATAAAGTGCACGGCGTCTCCGAAACGCAAGCTGGGATGTCCACAGAAAACCACGCAGGGCTATGGAAGAGTTAAAGGAATTAAAATATATGTTATTCAACAAATCTCCTAATAGATAAACCCCACCTGCCGGAAATCCTTGCTAAAGCCCTCTGAGAACACGTGGTTATAGTGCTTCAACTTGTTGTTGCGCAGATAGAAGGCATGCGGGAAAGGATCGTCCGGGAGGTACACCTTATTCTGCTTGGCCGAACTGAGCCACTCGGCCAGGATGTTGGAGTAGGCCAAGGAGCTGTCTGCCACGGGGGAGATGAAGAACATGGGCACATTGTTGAGGCCAGCGTTCTCCAGATTCTGTGTGAGGCACTCAAACAAGTCATAGACCACTCCAGAGGGATAGCAGGGAATGAGAGCGGATCCATTGTTCCGAATCGTCAGAGCTACATTCATGCAAAGCTCGCCCAACTTGGTGTCCGGATTGACCGTCGGCGCCTGCGTCAGCCCCGTCATAATAAGCACATCTGCGTGCTTCAGCGCCGATTGATTGATGGGCCTTGGATGCGTGGTCAAAGTGGAGGAACCGCTGACGTAGCAGATTTTTTCGTGGGCCGTGCTCAGCACCCAGTTGCTGGAGCCCAGACAGTAGCCAGAGCTCACGGGCGTGGCAATGAAGGCGCCCAGAATGTCCAGCTTCTCGTCGTAGCCCATGATGGTCACCTTGGACAGACTGCCCTGCACATCCTTGAGGCTGAAGATGGTGCGCCACTTCTTGGCCCGGAAAGCTTCGCTCAAGGGACTCGGCAGCAGGTGGAGCTTCTCCTTCCACAGCCGAGCGGTGCATGCCTTGGGCGACACCTCGATGTAGTCCACCAGTTCCTCCAGGAAAAACCTGCCGATCTGCAGCGTTGGCTCCGTAGCATAGACCTTGCCCTTGAACCCAGTGTTCTCCGTGATGTACGGTAGGGCGAGCATATTGAGATAATTCGAGATAAGTATCACATCCACCTCACTGAAGTCCAGCATCTTGTCCATGGGCAGATTGAACTCCGGCGTGGAGTCCACGAAGACGCGGCCGCAGCAGTCCTTCAGCTCGCCATCCATCTGGGGATCGTGGTCCCGGCTGGGCACAAAGTTGGGCAGATTGGACCACTTCAGAGACTGCACGAACGGCAGCGGCAGGAAGTTAAGCACCGTCTGCTCCGTCAGGCCGCAGTCCAGCATTATCCGCAGGCCCTTGAAGGTAATGATGTAACATGGCTTGGCCAGGTCCCCGCTGAGACAGTACTGCAAAGAGGAGTGTCACTTCCGCTGATAGGGAGATCTTTATAACCGCAGGATGACTTACCAAACGCATTTTTAGAAACCGCCAGTCGCAATGACGGCGCTGCCGATTAGACGATGCAGATTTGTTTATATTTTGGACCAGGGAAGAAGAGGCATTGTCCAACTGGTTCCGTTTTGAACTGGAGTCAGTGGTTCTTTAATATAAATAATATTAAAATATTATTAAAATCAAATCTATCATAAATATACATTTAGAAAGTATTGAGCTTAGACGTTAGTAAATTTAAATAAATCGTACTGTTTATTTTACCAGTTCCATTAGTTCCTATGTTCCATCCCTGGTCATCCCTAAACGTCATTTGAATATATTATTTCCTCCCGGCTTAAAGATGTCCCAAGAAATTCGTGTTTTACAATGCATTCAATGCAAAATGTACCAGGTGAGCACTTTAAATAACTCTATTAAACCCCAATCCTATATAAAAACCCGTCCATTTAGGTGGACATTGTGAAGAAAGCGAACAAATGGCAATGTAAAATTTGCCTGCAGAAGCAGAATTTGCTAAAGGAGTTCTTTAGGGGATCAGGTACTTATTTAAACCTAGTTTAAATTGAAAATTAAAATAATTGGAATTAATATCAATTTAAGGACCAGAATGCCGTGCGAAGGTGCAGCAGCTAAACTTGGAGCGTGGAATGCAGGAGGAAAAACTGGAGGAGGATCTATTCCTCACAGCCCAGGAGCAACTGGATCAGAAGGAAAACAGCCTTGAAAAACAGAAGAGTACTCCCCAAAGGAAAACAAATAAGTGGGCAGACTATGTGGATGAACCCATTGAAATCCCACAGAAAACTGCAGTAGTACCTCCGGAAATCGAAGATGAAAAGCAAGAGGAACTTCCCATGAACTTTAATAGATCCAGGAACAAGTTATCAAGGCCCAGTAAACGTCTTGCTGAAAGTCTGCCAGCTGTCAATAAGAAAAGTTGCTCAAAATGGAACGATTTTCTATAACATCTGTAATAAAACAGTTCGTTTATAGCAACTGTTATTTTGTAAGCCATTATTATTATAACCAGGTTCCAAAATACCTCCCCAAACTCTAAAATCCTAAGAACTACGATTTCTAAACTATTAAATGGATAAAACGTTTCTTTATTTCAATAAAAATAATTTGATCATTATAGTTGTTCATTACGTTTTATTAAAATCCGTTTCGTTCTTGTATTTATATATATGTTGTGTGTGAATCGTGTGGGGACCGAGATGTTCACATCTAAACAGAATACATTGCCTTCCGTTGCACTAATGCTACAAAAATACAAGTTGCATGATCCGCTAAGTATTGTAAGTTAAAGGGATGTTGTGTATAGGGGGTTAACTAATTGCCAATCGGGCATCATGTTGGACATGCTTGGCTCCACGTGTCCCAATTGGTTTGAATACTCGTGGAGAGATAAGAGTTGGTTATAGTTAAGTGGCGCTTGGGCGCGCGTTAATCTTGAGAGAAATCGTAATATTAGTAGCCGACTACGTGTATATAACCTAAATCCGCCTCCTAGGCGCTACCGGCAGTGGCCCCGGCGCCCTCCTTTTTGGCCACCTTCTCATCGGAGCCGGTCTCGTCGATGTCATTGGACTCGGTCTCGCCGCCGGGTGCACCACCGGCCTTGCCCGACGACCTGCGTCGCTTGCGGTTGACGCGCCACGGACGCATGGGAAACTTCATGGCCGGCAGCGGCTCCATGCCGAGCACCTTGTATATCTGGCGGAAGGCAATGTAGCGCAGGAACAGCTGTGCCGACACCGTGAGATCCTCGCGTTCCTGCTTGGTCAAGTCCAGCAGGGCGTCGGTCGGGTCCTTCTCGCAGGGATCCAGCAGGCCAGGTCCATTGATCAAAAAGCCCGAGGACAAAGCCTCCATGATGCGGCGCATGCAGTCGCCGGGAGAGATTGGAAATCCAGCCGACGAGATCACCTTTTCCACGAGCAGCTCCAAGGACCACTGAGGCAGTGCCTGCCAGGAGGCTACGCGCTGGCACAAGTCCCTCAGTATGCGAATGACCATGACGCACGACTGCAGGCCAGTGGCACGGGCCTGGAACCACTTGGCATGTCGCAGGTCAGCCAAAGCCTGTAAAGAGTATTAAGTAAGTCAAGTTTTTGGTTCACGGATATTTATATGAATTTGGTTCATTGTTTTTAAATCCATAATGCTGTGTGATAAATATTTCGATATCTTAAAAAGCTTTCAAGATAAACGTAAAAATTTAAATACGTTGTCATTGAAACATTTTAAAATGGCTGTACCAACTAAAAACACTTTAAAAATCAAATTGAAATCAATTAAGAGTAGGTTTTTCAATGTCATGTTAATTTTTGACGTTCAGTTAAATTTCTTTTTCGAAAACGTACAGTGTCTTAATAGCTTAGTGTTTATCTGACTAAAAATTGCTAACCAGAGGAGGTGTTCTAGTTAAATGTCTAATTTGTAATGTAAGCTCATGCTAACTTTCTCTGACATAAAAGAACCTATAACCTTAGCATGACACTGAGAAAACCACTCTTAAACAAGACTCTTAAGATCTTTAAACATGAATCTCCAATTATTATTGACCTATGACTTTGAAAAGGCTACTTACACGAAGACAGGGCTCTCGGGCCAAGTATTCAGCATCGCCTTCACCATCTTCGCTGGTGGAAACCTCTCCTGGATTGGTGTCGCGCAGCAAGGGCGAAGTGAGGGTTATTTTAACCGAGACAGACTCATCCAGCACGATTAGGGCGGCATCCTCAGCGTTGACCTCCACTCGATAATTGACCTGAATGTCGCCTGAAATCAAGAGAGCAAAAACACAAAATCTTACTAAGGGCATCTTTGAAGTAGGACTTAGTTACATCGAAATACTAGATTCGACTTGGAAAAAGAGACAAACATTGTGGGTGAAGCAAAATTCCAGTGTGGGCCCGCAAAATGCACGTACATTGTAAAATAGTGATTAGCAACAATACAATAAGTATTGTTCAAATGGGGACTTGATGCACGGTATGAAAAGCACGAATAATGTTTGTTTCTTCCCACGATCCTCGTATTCGCTCGGGTCCCAGCAAACAGGAGATTCGATCGACTTGCGTGCTGGGATCGGTATGGTATCGGTATGGTATCTCCGTTTTGGGGTCTCGTAAACGGAATTGCAAGCTCGAGACTCGGACTCGGCGTCATCCACCCGTTGCAATTCCACTTAGAGCGCGCACACTTCTGTTTATTTCTGTTTATTTACTGAATTTCGACTTGAATTATTTAACGGAATTGTTTGTTGGTTAGTTTAGTTTTGCATTAAAATATTGAACGAAATTTATGGCTGCGGGAAACGTTGACCAGACGTCTCTGTATTCAGTATTCTCCATTCACCGTGCGCAACGCAAATTTCGCTCGCAATTTTGACTTGCATTTATATATTGGAATTTTCTATATTGGACAATCAAGCTTGATACACACAATTCGACCGCATGGACATATATATGTATACGAGATAATATATTGTATAGATATATTTGCTTATGGTTTCGAGTAAAAGATGGAGGCGCCACACATCAGCGCTGCAATTTTGGGCTCTAGCACTTGCATCTCGTGTGTGGATCAATCGCATATTGCTTCTTGGCGTGCTGTTGTGTGGTTCAACTTCATGGCCAGGCCAGCAAAGGACTTTATTTACACAAAGTTTTGATCATCCGGAGGCGGAAACAAGCGCGCGCAAACTTTGTATAAATATATTCCTTTGGTTTCGAATTTCAGTTGGTTAAGAGTTTTGGTTTTGGTTGTGGTTTTGATTGTTCATCAAGGAGACCACACCACACCACATGATTAGACTGCAGGAGGCTGGACTGACTTGTGGCACCGAGTCCGCGCTTGTTACCGTGACGATCCGCTGGTGGTGATTGGAGTGGAGTGGAGCGGAGAGCAGCAGCAGCAGCCGAGCGGGAGGAGGAGCAACCTGGGAGGGCTGGGCTGGGCTGAGCTACAGCTACAGCTACAGACGGCTAACTGAACGACACACTCTAGACTCAAGACACACGGAGCTTCTAGGCTAAGGCTCAAGGCTCGAGGCTCGAAACTTATCCTGCAGAGAGAGAAGCTGAAAACGGCAAATACGGTTTTTATTCGCAATTAGTTGCTATGTTGGCTGGGGCGTTGGGCGCGGTTTGGCGGGCGTGGCAATCTATATCCACCGCAACAACAGGGCTCAACTCCTAGTTGTCCTAGTTTCTATGTACAATAATTTGATTTAATTTAATTTGATTTGATTTGATTTGCTGACTTTTTCCACACAAATTGCCCGTCGAACGTGAACGTAATGAATAGCGAATATGAGTTGCGTTCATCTTGCATCTTGAGCACTCCGAAAATCGTTTTTTGCTCTTTTTTTTGTAGTTTTAGTTGACTAGTTAAAGCCGCTTCCAATTTGGCCAAATTCAACTGCGCTGGTCAGTGTGAAATTGGCCAAGCTAAGAACGTATGTATTTGTTTTGATTCAGTGATTCAGTGATGCTTTTCAGCCGCATTTATCACTCAAGCCATTTCTCTGGAAAAAGTTTTCATCTGATCCTCTCAATAGGACAACCGAAATGTCATTCAAGAATATAGGGCTATGCAATGACTACGATGGCAGCTGCCTCATCTCAACTTACCTGCCACCTCCTTAAGTTTGTCGGGCAGCACATTGGCCACACGCTGCAGGAGACCCGCCGTTGGCTTCTCCGCACAGAGGACAACCAACTCGACGGCGTTGTCGCCGTGGAGCAGCAGCCCCTTGGCCAGGTAACCGACTCGCATCACTCCCTTCAGGATGCGCACCACATTGCCTCCGTTGTCAGCGTCCTTGTGGAACGAGAAGATCTGGTTGTCGCGTCCATCCTTCTCCGACGACTTGTCTCCCTTGTCCTTCTTGTTGGACGCTCCGGCATCGCTGGGCTGCTCCGCCAGGGCATCGGAGACCAGTTTCAGGGCCCGCTCGGTGTGTGAGACGATGCGCTGGATGGTCTGCAGCTCCTCCTCCTTGGGATAGATCTCGGCGTGACGCGCTATGGCGTGGCGATCGTCGGTGCTCTCCGGGCGGCGCACATTTCCGCCGGGCATCATGCCAAAGTGCGGCGGCGGTCCATTGCCCATGCGACCGAAGCGCTGGGCACCTGCGAAAAGAGCATATCAAACATATTTGTGCTTATTATAATCAGCCATGATCTTAATTACAAATTCCATTTAAATGCCGGAAAACAATTAAGGTTGAACTTCCGCTTTACAGATTAAAGATTCAAGTTAAGAAAGTTTGACTGATGGGTATCCTTTCTTATTAAAGATTAAATTTATATCTATAAACTAAATAAACTAGTCAAACATTGTGATACACCTTGAACAAGAAGCTTGGGATAGCAGAAGCACATTAAAAACATTTTTAAAAATCAAAATATTTCTACCGAATAGTAGAAATTAACCACATCAAATATAATTGTAGAGATATGTGAAAGAGTATGTTATCCAAACATTCAATTGCTTTAAAAATGGAAATCAAATAAGCACGACTAATTGGTTTGAAATTGGTAGGTTGTTTGAACTTAAATTAAATTAATCAATTGAAGTTAGATTCCGGCAAAATAGTTACTTAACTAAACCACCTTATTTAATATTTACGACTTCCCTTGCAAATGATGGTACGTATTTCTTCAATAGGGGTGGTTTATAACTGGTTTAACTGGAGCACTGACCCACCCCAAAGAATATTGTGTGCGAACTCACCTCCAAAACTGCGGGACATCCAGTTGTTGTAGTCATACTCCTCGTTGTACTGGCGGTTGCGCTGCTCCTCCCAGTAGCTGCCGTCGTGATCTTCGCCGCCACGATGCGAGGACATCATGGCCCGGTTGGCACGGGCCTCGGCCAGACGACGCTGGCGCGGAGTGGGCTTGAAGTCCACCACCAGGTCGGGCTGCACCTTGCGCTTGTACTGCAAGCGATGGCGGCGGCCCTTCATGTGCATCTCTTTGGCGTTGGGGTCGTTGAACTTGCAGTCGCACAGCTTGCAGTTGAAGCTCAGTATCTTGCCCTCCTCATCTTTGACCTCCTCGATATACTCGCCGCCCACCGGCTTAATATTGTCCGTGTTCTCGCCCAACGAATCGTCCAGATTATCATCAAGGTCTCCAGCTGCATCGCTTTCGTTCGAGCCGCCGTCAGTCTTAGCAGCGCTAGCAGCAGCTCCTGCTGATCCGCCAGCCCCAGCGGCGGCGGGCACAAAGTTAATCTTGCCCATCTTCTTGGGCTCCTCGGAGGGAATGGGTTTGCCGAGCTTCTGGTGCAGCTTGACCACCTTCTGGTGCTTGGCTCCGCGCACATGGGCGGCATAGGCATCGGTGCCAGTGCAGGTCACGTCGCACAGCTCGCAATGGTAATTATTGCCACGATTCTGAGTGGTACTGGTGGCACTGGCGGACATCTTTAGCGAGGCCTCGCGCTTCTTGTGCTTCTGTCCCTCGAGATGCTCCCGATAGGTCTGCGGTCCGGCGCACGAGATCTTGCACACTTCGCAGTAGTGCAGCTGCTGGGGGCGTGGCGGTGCCTTGGGACGCATGCCCCTCAGAGCCGGAGCACCGGGAATGTTCGGCCCCATCTTGCGCTGATACCAGTTATTGGCGCCGCCATTTGGCTTCTGGTTGGGATGATGCTGCTGGGCCACATACATGCTGGCGGCATTGTAGAGGGCCGTATCATAGCCGTAGTTGTTGCCCGACGGCGGAGCCGTGCTAGGGGGCTTGGGTCCACCATTCGACTTGTCCATCTTGCCCTTGTTGACCTGGTTCTTGACTGGCGGAGCCGAGTAGTGCGTCTTGCTGACCGAGGCTGTCGAACCGGAGGCGTTGTAGCTGGCCGACGATTGCTGATAGAATGTCTTGGTGGCGTCGTACGATTGCATGGCACTGCGGTAGTCGCCGTAGCCACCGTACCCCCCTGCCCCTGGGCCCGAGGAGGCGCCAGCGCCTGCTCCGGCTGCTCCGCCGCCATAGCCACCCTGTCCGGCGGCCACGGCGGCGTTCTGATAGGCAGCCGCGTTCGCGTAGGTGGCGTTGGTTACCGCCGGGTACGAGACCTGGCCAGTATTGTACTGGGTGCCGCCGTAGTTGAACCCAGCGTAGTTGTTGTTGGCCATTGTCGTCGTCGTCGGTGTGCTGCAATTATTACGGAAATCGAATTTGTTTGACAATCTGTTTGCGCTTTACCATTTGCATTTGTGCTATTGCTATAACCCCCCTCCAAAATAACATACCATAAAGAGGTGCTCTACTTACATTAGCTATCCTAGCCGACTGTCAATATTTATGCGACTTCGAAATGCGGTTTAAGCCGGGAATTTATATGTGCTTTCCGCGTAATAGCCTGTTTATAGCTGTAAATGCAAAGTGGTCTTAGTCACGTCATGTTGAAAAAGGAGCGCCCCCTCCATTTTCCCGTCCATTTTTTCCCCATTCGCTTTTCTCTATCGATTTTTACCCTGCACCTTTGGACGCACTTTTCGCGTGATTCACCTGCATGCAAGGTAGCACACGTGGATAACCCCTTCTAGCAGCACTTTTAACACAGATTGCACATGTTTTGGGCACAGTTATTGTAACTTTAATTACCTCAATTCGTTGAAATGAAAATTTCCTCTCGTGCGATATGCGCCGGCAATAATTTATGGTTACCGGAATATCGAGAAAGTGGCTATCGATTGTTTGACACTTCAAGAAATACCAGTATATACCAAAAATACCAAACATGTCACGAAATTTGTGGAACGCTTGGGATCTTGTGATTTCTTGTGATTTTTTCCCACTGACCACATCTTGCCATGTAATTTTTAAATGGGGACTTTAACTGCTTATTTGCTATGCTCATTTTTTTATAGAACACTGTAAGAAATTATTTATTGTAAGTATTTTTAGAAATTGTTGACTTCGGGAGTGATTTACCTTTTAATCCCCCAATCTTTCTTTGACTACGCCCCTGGCTTTCGAAAATCGGGGTAACGAAGTTTTTAATTATTGTTAAGAAAACATATTCCTCAATATCATATTTTCACTCTGATCCAGGCGACAGGGGGTTTTAGGAGAAATTTTGAAAACCTTGTGCATTATTCAGCAAACATATGACAGATAAATGTAAAGAAAAGCTTCCATTGGCTTCCATAAATTTATTAATGGCTTATTCTTCGATTAACACACATCTTTGATACAGTTTTTATACTTAAGTTGACATATTGCTGAGACACACGCGACCTTCCTCTGCTGATGCTCATTCTACAGAAAAATGTTTTGGAACAGATTAACTGATCTGCTATAAATAGGGCTGCCAATCTTCTATCCTACATAAATATTAAATAATGGTTGTTATGGAAATTTTTAAAGAACGCTTTTAGTTTATAATAAAAGCACGAAAACGAAAATAATTTCGTGGAATAAAAAAAAAAAAATTAAGTTGTATACCAAAATATTTTATAAATTTTAGTTTAAATAGGGTTTATTGGGAATATGTTCCTTTTCCGATTATAAAATTACAAACGTAATATTTTTTTGTGTACTTAGTAAAACTAATCTTAAATTAGACGTTTACTAATTTTTCCCATGTGGAATCACCATGCGAATTTACTTGTCCTTCTTTTCCGGATCCTTTGACTTGTCGTCCTTCGACTTGTCATCCTTGGACTCTTCCTTCTTGGCTTCTTCCGGCTTGGCCTCCTTTTTGTCCTTTTCATCCTTCTTGGCTTCACCCTCCTTCTTGGCCTCACCCTCCTTCTCCTTGCCGGCCTCACCCTTCGGCGGTGGAGGAGCATCCCCAGACATACTGGCGGCAAGTTGGGTGGCCTTGGCCAGGACCTCCTCCGCATCCCCGACCATGTAGAAGGCTATCTCCGGTATGTCGTCGTAATCCCCATTCAACAGCCTCTTGAAGCCCTCCACACACTTCTCCACGGGCACCAACTTGCCCGGGTGACCGGTGAAGATCTCAGCCACTTGGAACGGCTGCGAGAGGAAACGCTGCATCTTGCGGGCCCTGGCCACCGTTAACTTGTCATCCTCCGACAGCTCGTCCATGCCCAGGATGGCGATGATGTCCTGGAGTGACTTGTAGGCCTGAAGAGTTTTCTGAACCGCACGGGCCACATTGTAGTGCTCTTCGCCCACAACGTCCGGATCGAGGATGCGGGACGACGAGTCCAAGGGATCCACAGCCGGATAGATGCCCAACTCGGCAATGGGGCGAGAAAGGACGGTGGTGGCATCCAAATGCGAAAAGGTAGCAGCCGGAGCGGGATCACTGAGATCATCGGCGGGTACGTAGACAGCCTGAACGGATGTGATGGAACCGTTGCGGGTGCTGGTGATCCGCTCCTGCATGGTGCCCATGTCGGTTCCCAAAGTTGGCTGATAGCCCACAGCCGAAGGAATGCGTCCGAGCAGGGCCGATACCTCCGATCCCGCCTGGGTGAACCGGAAAATGTTATCAATAAAGAGTAGCACATCCTGGCCGTCAACATCGCGGAAATACTCGGCGATGGTCAATCCCGTGAGGACCACGCGGGAACGAGCACCTGGTGGCTCGTTCATCTGGCCAAAGACCAGCACCACCTTCGAGGAATCATCCTCCGTTGAAATAACCTTGGACTCTATCATCTCGTGGTACAAGTCATTCCCCTCACGTGTTCGCTCTCCAGCGCCCACAAACACGGAGTAACCGCCATGGGACTTGGCTATGTTGTTGATCAGCTCCATGATGAGCACAGTCTTGCCCACGCCGGCGCCTCCAAACAGACCGATCTTGCCGCCCTTCACGTAGGGAGCCAGCAGATCAATCACCTTGATGCCAGTGACCAGGATCTCAGGCTTCACGCTCAGCTCGGTCAGCTCCGGAGCTTCGTTGTGGATGAAGGAGTAGTAATCAGACTTGATCTCACCGCGATCGTCTATGGGATCACCCACGACATTTAGAATGCGGCCTAGAACGGCTTTGCCCACCGCTACACGGATGGGATAGCCCGTGTCGATGACCGGCTGACCACGCCGGAGTCCCTCGGTGGAGTCCATGGCCACGCAGCGCACGATGTTGTTGCCTAGGTGGTGGAAAACCTATGCAGAAAAAAGGGAATTTTAGTTTATTCATATTTTTTACAACTTAATTCAATTTCAAGGATTTTAAATGATTTTTTTTATAATTACAAACTAATGGTTGTTGTATTAACTGGAATAATAATAAATACTATTAGTTTATTTAGATTTAAAAATAACAGTTTTATAAAAATTTTGAAAAATAAAAAATTTTGAAATAAAAAAATAAAATACCCCACGGAGACCGGGTTTAAATTAAAAAAAAAAAAATTAACTTATGACTAAATAATTCAACAGGAATAATAGTAAATACTATTAGTTTACTACATTTTTATATCATGCACTAAGATTTTAAAAATAATATAAGTTTTTAAAAAAATTTAAAATATTAAAAATTTTGAAATAAAAAAATATTGAACATACCCCACGGAGACCGGGTTTAAATTTCAAGAAAAACCCAATTAACTTATGACTTACCTCCAGCACCAAGTTGTCGATAGGAGCATCCTGCACCTTGAGGGCATTGAGCACCTCGGGAACTTCCTCCTCGAAGTACACATCGATGACGGGACCGATGACAGCATGGATAACTCCCTTACGACCCTTGCTCTCCAGAACCTTGCCTCCGCTGCCCGACTTCTCCTCCTCGCACTCATCCTTCTCCTTAACCTCACATTCATCCTTGTTCTTGACCAGCTCGGCGTCCGTCTTGCAGACGTCCTTCGGCTCAGGCTCGCATTCATCGCTGGGTTTGTCTTTATCCTTGTCATCCCAAAGCGATGAGGATGCGTGTAAGAAACGGGCATGCCTTGGAAGGTGGGTAAAATTACCCATCTGGGTTCCGTTACCGTTGGCCTGGCCAATCTTCAGGCCGATCCGTGCGCAGGCTGCCGTGGTTTCTTTTTTTCAGAAAAAGCTAAGCTAGTAATCGGCATTTTCTTACCTGTGGCCGCTTTAGTAAATGTCCCTATCATTTTTATTAAGGTTTTTTCGTTTTGCTTCTTAAACGTCTTAGCTGCAAATAATTTTTGCTTGTAATGGCTTGTAATTCCGTTGACAGATGACAAGAAAGCCTACTAAAGTTAATTTCTTAAAATTTACCATTGGGATTTTTACGGGTTTTCTGGGTTTGGGTTGTCACCTATTTTAGTGCAAGAGCATTGGTTTTCTAACACTTTTCGTGAGGGGACTATCTATCTATATTTTAAAAAGAGTTTAAAAAATGTATTTTTAAGTTTCTTTAAGGTTTCTAGTCTTTGATATAACTTTACCAGATTTGTATTACCATTCCAAAATGGCTTTTAAATTTAAAATCGTATATGATTAAAAAATGACATTTTTAAAATATATAACTTATTAATATACATTCATAAAAAATAAGAGTAGTTTGGATTCATAACCGATCTTGAGATAGTTTCCCTATTTTTAAGGGTTGAATTAGGGTGTTACCTAGGTTACTGATAGCCGATTGCTGAAGCCCAAACATTAGTGCTCGTAAGCTCATGGAAAATGGACGTACTATCGCATTACAGCTCACCCGTTGTTGAATTTCCGGCTACCCAGCCATTGGAGAAACAGTACGCCCTGGTAGACAACTGCACGGGCACCGATCCACCGCCTCCCAGCAAAGATGCAACCACGGGAACGCAGGAGAAGTTGCATGTGGCCACACAAACGGAACAACGAGTAGTTATGAGCAAGGATGTGGAATACGACGAAAGAGCTTTGGCCAAGTGGTTACGCCAAATTTGTCCAATGATAGAGCGGGAGCTAATGAATCCCACTCCTCTGATGGAGGATCTGGCAATGATCCAGTGCCGGTTGGAGGAGGAGCTGCAGGTGTTCACCTATCAGAAGCTGGCAATGGGTGGGGTGGAAAACTCGCAGGGCCTTGCCATCTGGCTCTGTGTCCACACAAATAATGCTCCTGTTCTGGTGGCCACCACGGTGGCTCCCCATGATGACTGGTGCGAGCACGTGGATCAGCAGCTCAAGCTGTTCGTCCCGCAAAGAATGTCCAATGGCAACCTGGTCATCTACGCCGAAGCCAAAACTTTGCCCTTGAAATCATGCCTCCGAAGTCTGTGCACAAATCCATTCAACAAGAACATGTTCGCGGGTTCCACCATGGATGGAGAGCTCTTCGTTTGGTTATATGAACAGGCGAGGGGTGCCGATTCCAGCGTAGATATAAAACAGCTCTACGGTGTATCATCCACCCAGGGAGCTGCAGTTGCTCTCGACTGGCCAAGGGAACAGCTCCTAATGGCTTGCTATGCTAATGGCAGTGTTAGACAATGGGATTTGAGCAGAAAGATGACTCTGGATTGGGAGTAAGGACAATTAGGATTTAAAACAGTTGGTTGTTTCATAACATTTAATGTTTTTCACTAGGTACTCCCTTCCCGCCACCGTTACCTCGGAGCCCACTGCTTTAGTGGCCCTAGGCCTATATGATTTTGTGTTGGGCACTAACGACGGTGGTGTCTACCGCTGCTGGAGCACTGGTCGTCAAGCGGCAGCCACCAAGCAGATCCAATTGCTGGCCCTACGGCGACATCGTTTCATGGTCTCCACGCTGCTCCGAACAGAGATGGAAGGAAACCAGTTCGTTCTCAGCTGCGATCTGAG